TTTTATTAACTTAACATCTGTTTTAACAGTGCTAACATCACAGGGGAGCCAGTCTGGTTTCCAGCTATGAATTTGTCAGTGTTCAGTGAGGCCTCAGGGCCTTGGTATGAGCTGGCACCTGGTCAGTCAGTGTCACAGTCAGGGCTTGAGAAATTTACTTGATGCCTACTCGTACCATGGCACTCCTAGAATTCCTGTCAGCATATCATTTTTCTTATCAGCTTTGGGCAAGTACGCCTCTACCCTGATATAATGCTGTCCTCGGGAGCCAAAAAATCTTACCGCGTTATAGGTGAAACTACGTTATATCGAATTTGCTTTGATCCGCCGGAGCATGCAGCCCCCCCCCCCCCCCCCCCGGAGCACTGCTTTATCGCATTATATCCGAATTTGTGTTATATCGGGTCTCATTATATCGGGGTAGAGGTGTAGGTGTCTGATTAAATTGGAAGTACCATTGTCCCTCTATGGCTGTTGGAAAGGAGCAACATTTTCTCTCTCTGTCTCAGGATCTGGACTGCCTTGAGAATGTTTCTTTAGGTCCTTTTCCCCGAACCTTCTGACTATTGCACGCACATTCATCTGATCTCCACTACTCTCCCCCTCGCTCGATGTTGTGAAGGGTTGTTTTTGCTGTTCTTCCTCCCACCCAGCCTCTGTTTTTATTGGTGGTCCTACCAGTAAATAGTTTCAGAGCTTTCCTTGACAAAGTTCATAGTTTTTCCAAATAGTAGAGTGAAGTTGTCCTTATTTTTGTCAGTTTTTTGCTTCCCAGAAAATTCTGAATAGTAGCAGTGAAGACTGACATGACACTGACTACTGCACACGTTGCTGCAGCAGAGGCATTGGAGCTGTTTGCCTGCAGACCTAAGAAGGCAGTATTATATCAGTGTACACTCTGTTCAGGATTGGAAGGTAACCTTCATAATCATAAGTGCTAGAAGCTACCCTCTCACCACTTAAGGTGTGGCTCATTCAGGTTAGAGTACTCCTCCAGGCCTAAATGTTCTCAGTCCATTAGATCATGCTGCCTCTTGTCTAACAAAAGTTGACATTAAAATGCTGTGCATACAGCCTGACTTTCTTTGCTCCAAATTTACTATTGTTTTCCCTGACCTGAAAATAGAATTATAAGTACTTGAATAAATGGATTGAAATGTTGTCTAGTTTCACTGTAGCTTCTGTAATGATTACTACGTTTTTTTCCTGAAAGACTGTTTGTTTGTTGGTGTTTTTAACTATACTTAAAATTTCAAAACAGACGATCAACAGCAAACAGTGGATTCTGCTACTTTTCTTCTTTTACTTGCAGCAGAATAATGTCAGTATTACAAAATTATGCTGAATTAAGCCATGCATCCTCTGCACACTTTAGGGACTATGATTTTGCTTGGCTCATCTGTTGCTTGGGCTTTTAAAAAACTGACCCTTTAAGGTAGAGACCCACCAAAGGAAAAAAGCAGTAATATTGTGTGCTGGTACAGTTATAATAATCCAGAGTGAGTACACTCTGTGTCATGGAATGCACCCATAGTAAATATAGGGTGACCAGATGTCCCGATTTTATAGGGACAGTCCCGATATTTGGGGCTTTTTCTTATATAGGTGCCAATTACCCCCCACCCCTTGTCCCGATTTTTCACACTTGCTATCTGGTCACCCTAAGTAAATACAGTGTACACTTAAGCGGGGAAAAAAATCAAGATGTCTTGGGTTAGTTGTACTACAGCCCCCTCTGGTGGTAAAAAAAATTAAATCCTGCATTTTAAAATTGCTGATCGCATTCTGTAAAGCAGTGGTTCTCAACCAGAGGTATGCGTACCACAGGGGGCATGCAGAGGTCTTTCAGGAAGTACATCAACTCATCTAGATATTTGCCTAGTTTTACAACAGGCTATGTAAAAAGCACTAGCAATGTCAGTACAAACTAAAATTTCATAGAGACAATGACTTGTTTGTATGGCTCTTTATACTATACACTGAAATGTAAGTACAATATTTATATTCCAATTGATTTATTTTATAATTATATGGTAAAAATGAGAAAGTAAGCAGTTTTTCAGTAATAGTCTGCTGTGACACTTTTATATTTTTATGTCTGATTTTGTAAGCAAGTAGTTTGTAAGTGAGGTGAAACATGGGGTACTCAAGACAAATCAGACTCTTGGTCGACGGCGCAGCGTGGCTGCCAATAAAGCAGGCTCTCTGCCTACCTCGGCCCCACGCCACTCCTGGAAAGCACCAACGCGCCCCTGCAGTCCCTGGGCAGGGAGCAGGCGACGTATGGCTCCACATGCTGCCCCTCTCTGCAAGCACCACCCCCGCAGGTCCCATTGGCCACAGCTTCCCATTCCTGGTCAATGGGAGCTGTGGGGGTGGTGCTTACAGGCAGGAGCAGCATGTGGAGGAAGACCCCTGCCCCCCCACCCACCGGGCTGTGCTGGCCACTTCCAGGAGCAGCGTAGGGCCAGGACAGGCAGGGAGCCTGTCTTAGCAGTAGCCCCGCTGCACAGCTGGAGATCACGATTGACTGGGAGATCCTCCAGGATTGACCAGTTGATCATGATCGACCGGTTGGTGACCACTGCCTTAGACTCTGGGTATCCCAAGATTGGAAGGTTCAAGGGCAGAATCCCCTGACTGTTCTTTTGAAGAACAACTCTACCTCCCACCCCTCCAAATACACAAAAATAACCTTTTTGGACAAAACCTCCAGTAGTAACTTGTAGAGTTTTATAGCTACCATGAGTGTGTCTTACATTGGTTAGCACACTGCTCTCTGTTTGCTATTGTGTGAGCTGGGACAAAGGATTTGATGTTATAACTCTCTTCTATCCACCCCAGAGTTTGAACTCCAGAGTCTTGGCTTGGTTTATAGAGCAGTAATTGTGCTAATGCCTCTCATGTTCTTTTCACGTTGCCTTTTATTTTAATAAAACACTAACTCAAAAATTAGAGTAAGATTTTTGTGTTTTATATATGTATATTACTTTTAATCCTGAAGGATCTTAAAGCCCTTCACAAACTAAATACATACATACAGCACTGCTGAAATGCTTCCAACTCTGGGACAGAGAGCAGCAGACATGCACATCTCTGCATGCTAATGGCTGGGAAGTGAATTTGGTCAAAATACTACAGTAAACCCTAACTGTTTTTAAAAGTGCTGTGGACCCCTAATGACTTTGAACGACAACACACCCATTTTTAAGTTTTTATATGAAAAAAATACACAATTCTTCTGGAATAGCTCGAGGTGTCATGGTCTTCATCACGCTTGATCTTTTGTTTATGCTGGGATGGAAGATAGGGCATTTAGAAATATACCTACATCATAGACCACTCATTACCTCCTATGATCCAAGGTGGGGGTGCACTTCTTTTGAGTGGGAGATTGGTTTAGACATTCACTCTTGGAGGCCAGCATAACCACTGTTTCCAGAGGGCTCTGAGGGAGTATAGTGCTGCTTCATCAGCTAACTCTGTTAATATGAGGATAGGACTTTATCCTGTCTTCTGTCCTCATTATTGATAAAATAGTCCCTAGGCTTTCTGTTCCCCATCTTTGTTTTCACAGGTCACCATGGTTTACAGATGACCTGTAACAGCCAAAGTGAAAGCGAACTTTGGAATTCATTCCACCTTGTTGGCCTGAAACACCCAGTTTTGTTGACCTTCAGGACATGCTGTAGGGCCCCTCTCTTTTTTTGAGTGGAAGGGACACAATAAGGCTGGTATTGTGCATGGTCGAGCATTTTGGGGTTATTGTTTTGATATCTCCCATTGATTTTCTGATTTTTGGGGAGCTTTTGGTCTTTTAAAAATATTTTGTCATAAATGCCTATAGTGGTAGGATATTACTGTTTACTTGCAGATGTAATTTAAAACATTGTTTAATTCTGAGTGATGAACATTTTAAAATTTACCAAAACTCAGTGTACAGCATGTTAAACCAAAAACAGTTGGCCTTTAACAACGTTAGTTTAATTGGCAAACCAGACATAGTGATATAAGAAATTAACAATCAAAATGACTAAAGGTGTCTTTGTGTGTGTGTGTATGTGTGTGTGTGTGAGAGAGAGAGAGAGTGATATACACTGATTGTCCTTTGTCATTTACACAAAGTGGCTGTTTTCATTTTAGGGATTTTTTGCTGGAATATATCTAGGGCCCTACCAAATTCACGACCATGAAAAACGCATCACGGACCGTGAAATCTGGTCTTTTGTGTGCTTTTACTCTATACTATACAGATTTTATGGGGGAGACCAGCATTTCTCAAGCTGGGGGTCCTGACCCAAAAGGGGGTTGCGGGGGGGAGGCGGGGGGGGCGGGAGGGGGAGGGTTGCACGATTATTTTAGGAAAGTTGCAGTATTGCCACCCTTACTTCTGCGCTGCCTTCAGAGTTGGGCGGCCAGAGAGCGGCGACTGTTGGCCAGGTGCATAGCTTTGAAGGTGGTGCCCCGCCAGCAGCAGGACAGAAGTAAGGGTGGCAATACCATACCATGCCATCCTTTCTTCTGTGCTGCTGCTGGTGGCAGCTCTGCCTTCAGAGCTGGGCTCCCGGCCAGCAGCCACCAATCTCCGGCTGCCCAGTTCTGAAGTCAGCACCAGCAGCAGTGCAGAAGTAAGGGTAGCGGTACCACAACCCCCCTACAATAATAACCTTGCGACCCCCCCCCACACACACACACCTCCTTTTTGGTTTAGGATCCCTACAATTACAACACCATGAAATTTCAGATTTAAATAGCTGAAATCATGAAATTTACAATTTTTAAAATTCTATGACCGTGAAATTGACAAAAAAGGACCATGAATTTGGTAGGGCCCTAAATATATCTCTTAATAACTTGATTAAGAGCCCTGATAAATTGTTTGCTGATGATGACAGAGCAACTTTAGACATTAATTCTTCTGGGGCCATGATAGAGTCTATTAACATCTTTGTGCACATATTTTGATAACTGCTGTAACTGTTGTGGTTTTTCTTATCTAGCTTTGGTGCATAGATCCTGTGTGAACTGCTCAGTTTGGAGTCTTTACTATTCATTGAATGCATACATCAACCTCTGAGGAAAGAATTCCTGTAAACACATCTATTTTGCTTTAAGTGTAAGTAGCCTATCTCTTGAGCTGTAAATTTTCTAAGATTATAATAAATGCTCATTTAGTTGTTCAACACACTTATTTTACTTGTAGGTCATATTATATTTAATCTTTTGCTATGGCATATTCATTCATACATAGGCTGTATCTGTTGTTTAAATCGTGTGTGGTTTTAGTCATTTAGAGCGAAGTCCTGAAAAAGTTAATGCATGCCTGGGAGATTCAGAAAACTCATAAGTAACTTAACCACTGCATGTGTGTGTAAAAGGTATGGATATAGAATTTATACGTGGCATGGAACAGTGCACACACATTTTGTAACCATTGTAAAAGGGCTGGAAAAGA